CCCCCCACCTCCCCCCCCCCCCCCCCGGGGGGGGGGGGGGGGGGAAGTGAGTGAGTGGCTGCGTGGTGCTTAGTTGCTGGCTGGGGTTAAACCATGACAGCTACACTTGAAAGGTAAGTATGGGCTAGAGCCAATCCATCTTTTTGCATCAGAGGCACATGCCCCACATTTAAGTTACAGAATCATTAATAGTATGAAACAAAACAGTATATTAGCTACCAAGAGTAAAAATAACATTTTACAGCATGGTATGCAGAGTGGCTTTAATGCAAAACAAGCATTGCTTCTGAATGTATGCAGAAAAAGGTTCTGTTTTCTTAGGGGAAATTAATTCTGAGGCGGATGGAGAATTTCATGTTACAGAATATTGACTGCTGCTAACCTTAGCCTATGGAGAACAGTCTCCTTAAGCTAATGCTACCTTTTTTGAATACTGTATTATTTACTATGGCCTTTAGCTTAATACTAAAAATTAATCAAAGCAAAATCTAAAGTGCCATTCCCTACTCTGCAACATGTGAAATAACTGTCTTAACCTAGTCTTTCATAAACCTCCTGCACCAGCCCTCAGTATGTTTGTCCATTTCTTTCTTTCCTTCCCTCCTCATTCTTTGTTGGCTTTTTAATCTATCCTCAGTTTCTTCTGAGGTTCTGGTGGTTGTGCTAGTCTTTCTCAGGAAAACGACAGCAAAGTGGCTTTTTCCCAGTCCTCCTGTCCTCAGTCAGCATTTGCTATTTCCAGTCTTCTGTTTCTGGGGCTTCTTAGCAATCCTGAGTATGAGCTCTACTTCATGGAAACAATTATTCCTGCAAATTTCCATAATCAGTTGTTCTCTCCAGTCCTACATTAGTCAGATTTGTGTCCACTGCTAGGCTTTTCTTTCTCTTAAAGAGATTACTTTATTAGTTGTATTTCAATAGTGAGAGTCAAACTTTGATCAAAATTTAATGGTTATTTGTCTGTGGAAGTTTCAGACCTTGAGGGTAACTTGGCTCACTTGTAATCTGTATTTTCAGCAAACACAATCTACTAACCCTTTCCAAGAAGTATTCTCTGTGGATGTTTAATTAATCAGCCATTGTATTTTGGAGACAAGAGAATCATTGTACTTTTTTACTAAAAGAATTCTTAATGAAAATATTATTTAAAACACATTATATACAACAGCTGATCTGTTTTGTCTGGTGCTGACAGTCTGAAGCATTTCTTCCCATCAAAAGCATATCCATATGTGAAACAGAAGATGAAGATGTTCTTACATTTATACAAATTTTAGGAGGAACTCTTCCTGAGCTTCTGCCAAATGAAGACATTAGGAAACCTCTGATACAGAAATGTCTGAAGAACTCTAAGGTCTTCTCTGAAAGTATGTAAGTTTTACAATTTTGTATTACGTTTATGTTTGTATTTTACAGTTCTACTTCTGTCTGATAATTTCAGGTTTTCTTTTTTCTTTCTCTGTAATTTGTTCTCGATACTGTTGTAAAAAGAATATGAAACAGTAAACATAGTTTTCTCCTGTGCGTGCCTTTCTGTTTATATTCTAGTATTTCAGCCCTAGATGAAAACACTGCTTACTGTAGCAACCACTACTGTTATTACAGTAGTGAACATACATGGTAGAATTACAATCCTACTTAGGATCTGAATTTAGTAGCCACTAAAAGGAATATTCTCGCATGTTTTATTGTTTTCTGAGGCCGAGAAGCTCAACTTCATGCTTCAGGATCACTGCATTCAGCCTCCTGATCCAAGGCCCCCTAGCTTAACCAGAAGCAAAGAATCCCTGTGTTCTAGGCATCTAGAGAGCAGCTGGCTGCTTCTGTCCTAACTGCTGTCCCCGCTGGATGTTACACAACAGCTCAAGTGGCTGAGCAAAGTTAAGGCTTCTTACCCTGGCAAAGACACGGACACTCTTGAACGCGGGACCCATTTTGGGCATAGGAATGCCTGATGCTGCTAAGGCCCTGAAACATTACAACTTGAATATAAGCAGACAACGTAATCATTTATTGTAGGTGAGAATTTTTATTGCAGGTTGAGGGTCTTCTCTTCCTAACTATTGGGTCATTCTTTCTTTAAAATCTTAGACCTAATAGTATTAGGGTAAGGAGCTGAGAATCTTACAGATAACAGTAATTCCTTCTCCTGATGTTCTGCACAATATAATTCCTGAAGTTTGTTATGTTTTGGAGGTGAAAGGAAAAGCTATTTTGTATGTGGAAGCAAACCCCAAATATAGGTATCTTATGGAAAGTTTTATTACTACTTTTTCTGTTCACAGTTTTGAGAAAGCAGAAAGGAACATCCCTTTCTCTTCTGATATTACCTGCTTTAATGGGTCTGAAGACAAACCACTGATTTAAAAGGTACTTTGCTTAAATGGTTTTCCTCTTATAATTCCACATTTTCCTGTTTTATTGAATCAGTTTCTAGAGTCTTTTGTCTCCTTCTTAAATGAAACATATCAACAGACCACTCTCAATGTGTGAACCAAAACAGTTGATACGGGATTTAAAATAATTATTAAATAATAACGTTGAAATATTTATGTAAAATTACCACAATAGTTGACATTTCTCTGACTTTAAATATCTTTTTCAGCCTGGCATGATCTAACAAGTGGAGTTATTTCCTTTTACAGGCTTCCCGGAGATCACTTTTATCTGCTGGAACCCTCTAATGAAATTTTCTTGACAAAACATATAACAAGATGTATAGAAAATGCTGGTCTATGAGTATTTGTCTATTTGAATGGCAGAGGGTGTAAGGTAAGTCCACAGTACTTCATAAGAAGTCATTCTTTCTGTACAATTGCATGCAGTTATGCCTAAGTTGTTCTGTTCCTCCTCTGTAATTCTTTAAGAGGGGGATTTTTTCTGATTTTTTGAAAATAAACATTGGCTTTGGGTCTTAAAAATAAAAGTTTTCATCTTTTCTCATCTTGCGTGTGCACAAACCCTTCACTTCACTCCATAACCTCGTTTACAAAAAATGACAGCTATGTTATTTTACTTTTAGAACTTCTCTGCTTGTGTGCTCCCATAAAAATGCTAAACACAATTTAATACCCACAAAAATCCACAATACTTACAGAAACCTTGATTTATTAGGTTCAAATTTATTTAGAATAAGATACAATCTAAAAATAGATTTGTATGTAAATAGCCTTTACAGTCAGCTTATGTTTAAAAGATTTCACTGTCAGACTATACAATAAAGGAGTTAGTTAGTATTGCATTTTTCTCAACAGTTAGTTCATTAGCTACTGAAGAGTTAGTTATTAGTGGGAATTATTTTGAGTATTCTAGATCCCGTATTTTTCTACCATTGCTTTTGCTTTAGAGATATAGGCATTCATGGCATCCTCCTTTGATAGACCTGCAAAGGAAAGTAGGAGTCATTATCTTTCCTCATTTGTCATCCTATAAACATGATTACATGATGTAAATTTAATTGGTGTAACACCTTTTTTCAGGTTCCATGCCTCCCATTTGGCTTTGCCTTTCAAATCTAGCATTCCTGGACATTCTGCCAAAATAAATGCATATCTTTAATTATCATGCAGATTTACATAACATTTGCTTGATTTCATCAAGATATGGGAGTAAATGTGAAGTATATGTAGGAATACCAATATTAATATCTCCAACAGTAGCCTGTTTGTAGAATCCATATAGTTCCTTCAGTTCGTCATCAGTTGGTCTTGTTTTCAATTTTTTTACATCTTCTGCAGCACCATCAAAGTCATCCTGATGAAAGAAAAAGTGTTAGTTTTCCTCTGAAGGGGTGTGCTTTAAAGCATTAAGTATAGCACGCACGGTCGTATCATTAGATACTCTCAATTACTCATTTGGGTTTACTGGGAAGTCTAGGCATTTTCCCATGAAAGAAGCTTAAAAAAACTCTAAGTTATTAGAAGGGGAACTAGGCCTACTTAGGTGATAGGATCAGCACTGCTAAAATAATTAAACCGCTTTTTTTCCAACAGTTTTACATCTAAACCCTTGGAACCATTACAGACTGTGTAGTGTCAGGACATCTACAGATACATACATGCAAGCAGCCTATACAATGAATGTAGTGTATATGTGTTTCACAGTCACGCTGTGGGTATGAAGGCGTTCATTGAACTTTACACCACAGCAGTAATCTTTGAATCCTTTTGGCCTTGACTGCATAGTGTTGATTCGAGCAGCAGAGCTTGAATACCCTCTGAGAGGTACTGCCCACCTCCCCTTCATCTTTGCTTCTCTGCTGGCAGTGCAGTAGGTGACCAAGAGTTGGCAGAGACATACCTCACAGAGATGAGCAGTGCTACTGCCAGGACCACCTTCAACACCCAACTCAAACACAGTGGAGCACAAGTATAAATCCACTCCTTTCATCATCATGCATCCCACATTCACATCAACCCAAGGCTACAGCCGTTATTCTCTCTATAGACTAGGTCTCAGGCTAGACTTCAGCATAGAGTTTGGAGTCCTGTTTCATGCCCAGGACATTTTGGAGACAGCTAGATTTTGTACAGTGACCACAGACCCACCAGCTCACTGCACTACTACAATGCAAAACAGATACAGGCACTTTAATACGCTATATGCTGGTTTCAATAATTATTTTAGCTTTTGAGTTGGATCTGCATTTGCAGAAGCACAGTATATCCTGCAAGATGTGCTATTACACATATATTTAATATGTACAAAACCAGCCTACAACTTTGTGCTAAAATCAGCCAGGTATTCAGCAATGGTTTCAGCATGAGTGGTGTGGCTCTGTTTAAATAACTGAGACCCTGGCATTACCTCAGCAGTCTGTACTAACTTCTTTAGACCACTTTTCCTTTCTCTAGTTACAGGAAAGATTTTTATTTTTTTTTTAAATATGAAAACCTAATGCACATTTGTGTCCTTAATTGATGCCTTTCTCCTTGGCAAGCAACTGTGCTGGGTGGACTAGGTGATAGAAATAAGCAAGTACTCATGAGAGCTGCATTCACTACAGCATTCTGTATTTAAACAGAGATAAAGTACAAGAGAAAGGTTATTTCTGTATTTAAATTTAAGAAGGAGAAATGAAAAAGAGTTTATGCTCAAGTATCTTTCTTCAAAGAAAGGCCCCTTCATGGAATCACAAAACTACACATTCATTGATGTAAAGATACATCCTGCACAAACACCTGGCCACTCTCCCACCAAAAGTCACCTCTGCCTCCTGCAATGGAATTAACTTTTTTTTTTTTGGCCTGGAAATTTAGTTTGGCTAGTGAGTAAAGTTCCCAGATAGAGACTTCTGAGGAATTTCTAACTTTTTGCAAAATTTTCATCTGCTATTTGAAACCCACAAAGAGAAAGCACAAGTCTTCTAGAAGTGCTCACCACAGGAGGATGTACATCTGTAACACCAGAGTTGAAACAAGGAGCAGCAGGCAGACAGGTGTATTTAAAAGGGATGTTTTAAAAAAAATAATGATGCGTGATTAAAAGGGTGTTCTAGCAAAGGAAGGCTCCCTGCAAGACAGCAATTCAAAATAAATCTTGAATCTTCTTTAAACTGCAGTTACAATTTCACAGAACATTAGATGTTCTAGAAGGGTTCATGATGATAATCCACGTCTCTAGTTCTGTCAGTTTACAGCACCCTTAAAAATGCAATGGAAGGAAAGCTCTTCAAACACAAATCCTGCAGTAGTGCAGATGCTTATTAACAAATAATCTTCCAACTCAGCAAGAACCGCAGTGTTTGCATAACTGACAAGCAGAAGTTTCCAGGAGATTCCCACCAAGGCCTCCCAGAACCAAGTGCCCAGTAGTGGATGCAGGAGTACAGAATACAGCTAGGGTATTAAAACAGTCTTTATCAGTTTTAAGTTTGAGAAATGCTGCTCTTACGTGGAGATATTTTGAATATAATGACCCTTCATTCTTTACTCAGTACAATACTAAGAATTAGCCAGATTCCAAGTGCCCTTTGTCCGCTTAAAGCTTTGAAACTTGGTCATTCGATAAAGTAAACAATTTGGCAGAGATACCACATTAAATTCTAAATCAAGTGACTTCCAAACTACATTCTTAAATCTATAACTTTATAGACTGAAAACATGTAACTATGCTTATCCAGTTTGTTCCTGTTTTAATAAAAATAATTCTCAGTATTAATAAAATGCAACTATACCATAGAATCATAGAAAAACATGAAGTTTTAAGTCCAACTTTTTGTGTCTGATTTCTTTTAAGAACTACTAAACACTGTGGATTTTTTATTTTTTTTTAACCAACCAAATATTTGGGAGTGCTGCAAGACAAATACAGGATTTTTCTAGAACTAAAAACCAAAATGCCCAGAATGTTATCCATAATTTAGATAAACCAAAATCCTGTGCTCCAGACTACATATAAAAGCTGAATCAATAATGTTGAAATGACCTTACAGCATCTCTCAGCATTTTTTTTTGTTTCCATGTTCTCTATTTTTTACTTAAAAAAAAAAAATCAGCATTCTAGCAGGAATTAAACTGATCATGAAAACTATTTTAATTGGAGTAACTGGATTTAGTCAGCTTGGATCAGAATTAAAAATGGATTATACGGACAACAACAGCTCTTTTGCTTCTTTGTTCTGGATAAAGAAAATGTAAGTATTTTCTTCTACAAAGTTTAATGTCTGAAATATGAAACCTGATTATTTGTTTTCCTGAAAGGCTAGAGAACTGGAGTACAAGCTTTCTCAACTCAGTTGAAAGAGCAAATTGTTAAACATTTCATAAAACGTCTTCTGTCCCAGTTCATCAAAGAGTTTAAGTAACATTTGAGGAGCTTGTTTGGCTCTGTTTTAAACACAAACACAATCTATCGTCACTCTGAGTTGCAGCTAAACCGAGTTTGGGGGGAAAAAAAAAAAGTGGTCTACTTGATAATAAGTCCTTGAACTTTCAGGCAGAAGTTGCAGTAATACACAACTACTGCACAAATTACATACTTGCAATATGAACAGAACCTGTTCTTTGCATTGAAGTTAAATTCAGCTTTTCTGACAGCTGCAAGCTCTCGGAGTCAATATCAACTTTCTCCTCTCTGATTGCAGAACTTGAGCACTCTTGACTAGGTCTCTCAAATACTTTGATATAGACAGTAATAGTTGCCCAATGTTCCCCTTAGAAGCCCGACAAAGTACAAATTCCACAGGTGGAACCCTACAAATAGTCATACTGGTAGAAGTAAATAAATCGTAGAAAGTCTATGGAGGGCCCCATTTTAAAAGTAGCCATGTTAGCAGCTCAATAATTTAAATTAAATATTAATAAAACCAAACATTTCCCAAAAACCACTTCAAGCATCATTAAAGCATCTAGTTGTTAACAGCTAACTAAGCCTAAGGATTTCCTCTGTTCTTTCCATAACTGTACCTTACCTCTGATCATCTTTTGCTTATTAATGGGAGGGACCCCTACCACAGGAAAGAAACTCAAGAGGAGAACACGATACTTAATAGCAAACACTTTTCAGGATTGTATGAGGGTTAGGAGGTATACAATAGCATGCATAGAGTCCTCAACCTTCACAATATGTAGTGACCTTTTTGTACAGTTATGTTAGTATTGAGAGGCCTTTTCGAACCTCTATAGGGTGGCATTTTGTAGTCCGAAAGCAAGGATATATCTCCTCACTGCCATAAAACAAACATTTTGTAATTATCCTAAAGTAATAAGTTGTGTGGAGCAGGAGTTGTATCTTCTGACAACAAATATTTCTGACAAATTAGCTAAACAAAATAATTTCAGTTTGATTTAATGTTTTAAATTAGCAATAGTGACATTAAAGTTGATATAGATTCAGTACTTATTTAGAAGAACTTCAGATGCATATATTCATGAATGGATGGTTTTGGTGTCTTGCTGCTGGTGAAATATCTCAATGTATAGGTCAGGAGACACAGTTTTAGTATTTGCCACAAATTGCAAGTCAATTAATTTTTGTTCTTCTAAAACCCCTTTAAATTGCAGATGTTAAAAGGAAATAGTTAAATATAGAAACATTCTATGAACATAATTATACAAGAATGAAAATCTTTATATTTCAGGTCAAATCAGTAAATGATAAAACCTTTAGAAATCTTCTGTCAGCTGGCCAAGTTTCCATGATGCACACAGTAGTATGGTCTGATCCCTAAAGAATTCCTGCTGCAAAATCTTTGTAACCATGGCTGGACTGCCATGGTTGCAATAGCTGTGGGTACAGACAGGTATTTCAGATAATTTAATTTCTTCTTTAAATACTGAATCTGCTAAACAGCAATTAAGTAAAGAATGGTACAAAGAAACTCCCGCTATTTACTCTGTAAGCTTTGGCATTAGAATTTCAGTGGACTTTATGAAGTTTACAGCACAAGTTGTAACAGTATTTCCCTTAGGATCAGTTGTTAGGCTAATGTGAAAACTGTATATTCTCTACATCTACTTGTTATTGATGCCATAGAAGAAAAATCCGTACAAACAAGAACACCGTAATCTCAAATCTGATTAAAGGGATCGCTTATTTCTCCAGAAATTAAAGCTTTGATAGCTTCTAGCTTAGGTGCAAACAAAACCATTTTGAATCATGCATCATTCAATCCTTGGCTTATCCTAGATGTTCAAATGAGAAGTATCTTTGGCCATAACAGAAAAAAACCAGTGCTTTAGTTATTAATCACAGTCCATAGTTCATGTGTGCTTCTTGTAAGCAATATAATAAAGCCCTCCCTGTGAGGAATTCCTAATATTTGTAATATTAATATTTGCTTTCATGAAAGCCTCGCAATTATTTTTCTTCTGGTGCAGTATTTTCTCTTTTTCTCCTTCTGTAGGGGAACTGTACCTGAATTTCCTACAACCACCTGAAATGCTTCAGCAAGTTCAGATGTTAAACTAATTTTTAATTTTTCACCAAAAATTGCCAAGGGCCATAGAAAGTAAGTAAATATCACTACCCTTCCTTTCAGAAGCAAAACCAGTGAGGTGAACACACATGCTTGAGGCCAGCAAGTCACCAACAGCGCAGGGAGAGAATTCAGGGCTTTTCGGCATGAGCGCAGTGCCCTGTGCCTTAGTCACAGCCTTCGGTCTGGGAGCAGGGGGGCAGATGGACACGTCGCTATAAGGTGAACAGGAGTCTGAACTCACAGTACTTGTGAGACTGTTCGTACCACTTTTTACCTCACTATATACCTTGACAGATAGGTAGCTTATCCCTCTGTGAAAATAGGTCTGGTCCGCTTTGTGCTTACTTCAGGGCAGGAGCAAGGACACGGGCGCTTACTGCAGAGGAACTCACATGCTCTGAATTTACATTCCGGCTTACTCCAGTCACTCCAAACATGCCACGCTGCTGCTGTGCAGTGTTTCAGACACCACAGCATTAGGATACAAAGCAGTTTTGTACTCAGATACCAAAACTGTAGTCTAATTACACAAAACCACATGTCCACATATGCACTAGCAACAGTATTTTTAACAGATGTATAGCATTTATTATGGAGAAGTGCTCAATGAGGGGAAACAAAAATCAGAAATGCAACTAACTTATCCCTGAATTAAAGATAGCGTCCAAAAGAACCTGGAACTGTATATCTTTGACACTCCTAAAAGCAAAGCATTTACACTCAGACTGTTGGTAGAGATATATAAAAGGAATGTACATTTGCTTACGAAAATAAATGTGATGGCCCACCAGTCTTAAGGTTTCTTTTATAGGTAAAATTTTATTAAAATAAATATTTCATTCTTAATCCAAACACCAGTAATGTGACATTCTTCACTGTACCTATCACTGACTCCTACATCACAGACAACTCTTAATATTATCCATACATGTACAAACAAAAGCAGCATTCATGCTCTGTTAACAGTAACATTAAGAAGTGGTATCAATAATAAAACATAACTGAGTTGCCACAACTGATTGAAGTTTAAGTAAGTTTTATGTTCGTCTTTATACTGTGAGACTGTATCCTACTGCGTGGGACCCTCTGTCAGCATTGACGTACAAGTACCATTCAAATCACTGGAAGTATTCCACATGCCTTGAATTGTTTTCTGATCTAAACTTCACAGTAAGAATGAACAGAAGCATTGTTAGACTTGTACAAGACAAAAGATAACTCAAATAAATTAAGAAAGGAAACCGTTAAGTTAAAAAGCTCCCTATCTTCATATACTTTTATTCTATTTGGATCTATAGGGAAGTACCACAATATAGTTTTAAAAATATGCAAATGCATATCTTACACAGCAAGAAATACACAGAAGTGAAAATTAAATACTAAACATTTCTTTCTTCATCTCCCTCTAGCTAATCGTTGTGCACAGACTGTTGCTTAGGATTTGCTTGCTTACACAACATGCTTAGGAGCAGCCTATAAAAATATAATTTCCTTTTAATCATGTGCCGATAAAATTCCCTTTAACTCCTCAAATTAAAAGCATAAGTATGTATACAGACATAAACACATACACATGCATTAAAGATAAATGCACAAATCATCAGACTATTATCACATACTCCCTTTTTGCAAAGAAAAAAGCTTGAACGAATTCTTCATTTACAGCAGAGCATTTTACCAGTTTGCAAAACTTATAAATCTTTTACAGTCCCCCTGATGAAAACATTATTCATTTTGTCCTCATTCCCATACAGCTCGATTTAATGAATTTTTATGGATATGGATGGTAGCTGTCAACCAAAGTGACAGTGGATAGAAAACCTCTATAATGTCTAATGTGGAATGTGTAGGATATCATAATATTTCAACCACTGATTTTTATGTGAAAGTGTAACTGTATACAGCAATGGAATGGCGTATCATACAGCACTCAGCTCTTTCTAATAGTGATTTATGGCTCATTGCTTAATCATCAGGCTAATAAATGTATTTTCTAGAGTGAATTCAAGGCAGACTAAAACAAACTATAATTTCAGTGATCACTATTTAAACAAAGGCGGTGTTATGTTTGAGATTTGGCAATTCTGACCCACTGAAGAAATAGGATTCTTCCTCTTAGCTGTAAACCACCACAACGAAACCTCTGTGCCATTCGACATAATTGCAGCTCAGAAGAAAATTGCTGAGCTACTGGCAATACACTCCCTGCATCTAGGTCAGAGCATTATGTTGCTCACTCTTTGCAAAACACGCACACTAACGAAGCTGAGACAGACATTATAATGAGACCGGGATAAAAGGGCTTGCAGATCTTTAAGTGAAAGGGATAATAGAAAGCCTAATGAAGAAAAACAGCCTAATCCATCAGGGCATGGGCAAGACAAGGGAAGTATTCATAGTTTGCTACAAAGGCATGAGGCTAAAAGCCAGCAATGAAGATAATTTCCTGAAGAACTATTTAGATCTATAGTCAGAAAGAAGGTAGTAGGAAGCTCTCTCCAGCCAGAAGGTAGAAAGTAGAACCTTCCCTGTCAAAACACAAGCCCATCAAAATGTACCACTCCAAAGATGCACACGACCTAAAAAAATACGCACAACTCCCTTAAAAATTATTCCTGCATCCCAAATGCACACATACCACTGCTTCAGTGTTAGAAGTCTCCCTCCTCCTTTTATAGCTCCAGGTAGCTAGCTAGATCCTAAAAAAATAAGTATGTATCTACCTTTCACTGCATTATCCAGTCCTAGCAAACTCAGATGCACTTGTAAAGAAAAATAATTCATGCGTGCTCTAAACAGGTAAGGCTTCAAAAAATGACATGACCCATGAATAGTTCAAAATAAGCAGCATGTCTCTCACCCTCCACTTGCGAAAAGTAATGCATTATTTAACCTCCAAAGGCTTAGGTAAATTTCACATGCCACAAGGTAACCTTCATTTTGCAGTAATAATCCTTATGCTGAAGAAATACCGCTGTCTCTGACGCAGCATTGCACAGATGGACAGTGCACCCCTCCCTCTCCTCTCCTTGCATCTCTGTCTCACCAGATGCAGAACTGCTTACCTGGAGAGTCATGATGCTGTGAGGATGCCCAAGGAATGGCCTCGCTCCTTCTCCGTCAGGGACGCAGCGCTTCTGCCTCTCGGCTCCTGTGGTGCGAGCGTAGCAGTGGGGGCCGTGCTCCACGGAGGGTGTTGGGCTGGGTACGAGTGACCTCAGCTCGCCGGCCACAGCAAAGCCACGCCAGGGCAGGACACGGGGCCTCGCCTCTCGGGACCTGCAGGGACAGCTGAGTGGCTACGAATGCCAGGGAAGGGACGGCGGGGGCATTCAGCCCACACTAGATTCTTCAGAAAGCCTGAGTTCATTTCCATACCTCTGAGGATTAGGCCACCAGCCTGAGAGCAGAGATACAGCAAGATTTCCAAGCCATTTGTTTGAAAAAGGAATTTCTTGAGTGATTTGAACTGCAGCCAGCCCAGTTATTGCTCCTGTTCCCTCTGCCACAGCCCCTGCCCGTGCCCATGCCCAGCCCTGCCTGGGACCTCACATCCTCCAGGTGCAACTCTGAAAAACATGCGGGTCATCCCAGAGATAGCACACATGAGCAGTTAGTTACACGCACAAGATACATTGAGGATGCTGGTTTCTTCTTTGCTCTCCTAAATACAGGGAAAAAAAAAAATATTAAATGAACTGATAAACTAGCCTACAACTGTAACCATTAAAGAAAAAAAAAATCCATCCCTGCTTATCTAGATCAATTCATAAATTATTTATATTCACACCTCCACACGTTTATATTCATCATTCCTTGAGCACGGTTTCCTCACAATACTATGCTTCAGCATTTTTAAATCCACTGACTTCCATAAACCCACATAAAAAGAGGGTTTCCCCTCTTGGACTTAAGTCCAAGTTAAATCAAGCCAGGACTTAATGAGAAAGCAAATGAAGTAAATTTCAGAATACAAAAGGATATAAAAAAAAATTTAAAACAACTCCATCAAGTCTCGTCTCCAACACCACGAAGCGACGATGCCGTTACTTTTGCTGGGCAAGCGCTGCTCTTTCGGGTGCGAGAGGCTGCGCTCAACCATGTCGCGCGCTGAAGGGAATACAGAACTGACCGTGCCTGTAAGGATTTGTTAACGGCCCGCGGCAGACTGTGGGAAACCCTGACGGTAACCAGTTCTTACCTGCCGTCGTTACCCACAGAACACGAGGTACGCGCACTATGTGTCGCACAGCACAGGGCTGCGAGAGCCGCCCCTGTGGCTGTACGGTCCCCGTGAAGCCCCTGCTGACTTGGCCATGATTTCATTCGGTGACGTGCGACAGAGCTATCGCCTATAGAGCAGTTTACGGTAGCACTCAACGTGAGGACGCGCCAGCGCTAACCCCGCGGTGAGACCCGCCAAGTGCAGGCTTCTAGCATCAGCACTTCAGTGCCTCCTTCGGTCAGGCCGCAACGCGCCGTTTCTCCACACGGGACTGACCGCAGCAGCCCAGCAGCCGGCGGC